TCATTTTGTGGCTCTTCCTATTATTTGTGTTCATTTCCTATCGCTGTCATGTGTCGCTGTATTGTTGAAGCGTTATCGAGTTAAGAGATAAATCGTATGAAGATTCTTTTGTGGATACGCATTCGAGGCTTTGTGAGTTATGAGATATATGTTCATCGGGAAAGAGGACGACAGGGCATCTATTACTAGTGAAATTTCTCCCTCGAAGGGTTTGTTTTGGAGTTACCTGGTTTTGTGATAATTACACTTCTTTTAGGAACGAAAAATAAAAATAAGAGTAAAATTTCAAAGAAATTGAAGTGGAAGAGGAGGAGGGGAAGGAAAAAGGAAAAATCTAGGAAAGATAACGAATAATCTAATGCATAAGGCGATGAAAACGTTTTTGAAGAGAAAGAAAAGCCCTAAACGCGTTTAGTAATCGCGAAAAAGGAAGGTGATTTGAAAGTTTCTAAACCTCAATATTCATAATTCAATAAAAGAAGATTTCGGCCCGAAAAGGGACATTTACGGTGGCGAAGAACCAACAATCAACAGAAGAGAGTGCATAAGGTAAAACTGAACCAATGAAGCCGTAAAGGAGAAAAGAAAGCAATCGAGTATGGTATAGTAAATGAAAAAAATGGAGCCTCTCTATGAGCGAGATTGCGTATGCACATAGATGCGAGTCGGAACAGAGTGTGATCAGAAATATTTCCCCACAATCAGCATAAAGATACGTGGAATGAATGGTTTGGAAAGGAAAGCAAAAGAGAACAAAATGGGCACTCTCTAGCATATGTTTCGCAGAAACAACATTCACAACACTGCCTTATGCTTATATATGATATCTGTTCAAGTGGTTTGTCTCCAAAACTTGTCAGGTCAGGCTTTTGTCGCACTATTCTATTGCAAAGTTACGGTAGACAAACAACAGATGGCGATGTTTGCAATGCAGAAAAACTGAGAAGCCAATTTGTTGAGGAAAGCAGACAGCACATGAAAAACTTTTCACTACGCTAAAAATGAGACAAAGACATTCTTAAGTCCAAGCATACATGCGATACGGTGAGCACAGCTTCTATAAGTTAAAGGGGTCACATCGAACTTTCCGCAATCTAATTGAGAGATGCATCCACCGAGGAAGGCGGGAAAGGGGAGGGAGGGGGAAGAGATATTTGTACAAGTCCCTCGCCATCCTTAGATCTCCTCTGCTTTAAGATAGTTCAAGAAAAACATGTTAAACACAAGAACATTACCAGTTCTATACCCGGCACTGATATGGGCTGCTTGATCCTCACTGTCAACAGGAAAACAGGTCGATTTGTGGGTATAGCAGAGATTGTTACAATTCCCTCGGATGATGATTAGCGATGGAAGCTAATATTGCTTGTCCACGACTTCGATCTCGAATGTGGAAAGACACCGAGTTTGGACAAGCCGATGCCTTATCTCGCCTGATCACTCTAAGACCGTTCCACACCGAAGATGTTGTGATAGCAAGGATAGAAGAGGATACGCGTGCCATTCAGAGCGCTGCCGTAAGCTACCAGTGATCAGGAGAGCGATTGAAGAAGAGTCTCAGAGAGACGAGACCATATCGCAGGTCATACGAATGCAACAAGCAGGGCATGGCCACTCAAACCGAAAGACAACTGCAAGGCACTGAGCCATAATCTGCCGGTATCTGCACTTCAATCACAGAATAGTCACTCCAGAATCACTCCAGTAAGGATTTTGAAGCAGTTGTATGAAGAACATCCGAGAACGACAAAAATGAAGATGCTCGCGAAAGAATACGCATTCTGGAAAAGCATCAAGGAGATCGCAACAGTGCGCCGCAGAGAATGTCAGGAAGTCGCAAAGATGCCCTGAAGACAGTTTGGACTTCGTGGAAGATGGAATCGAAGCCATATTGAGGATGCAGGACCTTTGAATGGATAGATGTACCTTATCGTAGTTGACGCTTACTTAAAGTGGCCGGAAGTACTCGAAATGTCGTCGTCGTCAACTACTGCTATCCAGAGAGAGCTCATGTTACTTTACGATTCGGATATCCCCGAGTAATCGTGTCGGATTATGGAACACAGTTCACAGCGAAGGATTTCCAAAACTTCTGTGAGGAGCGAGAAATGAGCATATGCGTACATCACCGTTCCATCCGCAATCAGATGGACACTGAAAGATTTTTGGGTACTTGCAAGAGAGCTTTCCAGAAAATCAAGGAGGGAGGGATGGCAGAGAAGCTCGCAGAATTCTTATAATGCTACCGACGAACGCTGGGCATGTCAACACCTGGACAACGATCGCCAACTGAAGTGTTCCTGTGACGTCAGATTAGTAGAACGTTGTTAACGTTGTTGGAGAAAGCCACAACGAAAGAAGAGCGGATTGGCAATGAGAAAATGGAAGCAATTTAACGCCACCATGGAGCATAGAAGTCGTAACAAAAGGAAAAAATAGCGTGGGTTCGTGATTATCGCCTTGGATATAGAAAATACGTTCTCAGTCATGTGAAGAAACGTCATAGGCAAGTCGTGTACAGTGCTGCTGCTGTACATGCTGATCCAAGAGAACAAGTATGGAGAAGACATGGGAACCAAATGTGTAGAGGAGCCAATACGGAAAGCAGGGAGTCTCCGATTTACCGTTGCGGACCGAACCGTCATCATCGCACCGCCGAAGAAAACTCGACCAAACCGTACCGTTCCCCAGATCGTCTGGAAATGGACACGACTGAAAGTGTACAAGAGATCAACTTAGGGGGGAGGTGTCGTAGGGACTATAGCTAATTATATTGTAACTTGTTCTATCACTGTATTTTCCCAATGCTATACGTGATCTAGATAGCGGGATGTACGACACATCTTATGCTGTCCATCCAATGTTATTCTATAGGTTTCAGGTGAAACGGTGGTGTTTACGAGAATTGTATAGGAGACCTCTCAGCCTCTTTGACATAAGCAATTTACCTCATGGCGTTCCACAACAACGGAAAAATCACAACTTCTTCCTTTTTATAAAACGAATCATTGCATCTTCACTGGCCTGAAGTGAAGAATCAACTTGGGGAACGAGGAAAAGAGGGGGTAGCGGGAACAGATAGCTAGTCAGTTCTCACCCTATCGCATGTATGAAGTTCCGCTTTGGTTCGGAGTTAAAATCATAATTACATAAAGTGTGCAGTAATCCGTAAGCCAATCTTACCTGCATCTAAAATCTTTCACAGCGTCGGATATAACTTCTAAGCAAACAGAAACCAATTTTCCAAACAATGGCACATATTGTGGCGATAGCAGGTCTCCAAGAAAATTGTATTCAACAGAGTTTGTAAAATCAAAGAATAGGGTAACTTACCTTTTGTCATCGCATCATTCTGAAGTATAACCATAAAAAGATCATAGACAGCTTGCAAAATTGTAAAGATTGCAACGGAATCGCCTTCAAGATTCGACAGCAAAGCCGAGACAAGTGGATGAATGTGATTAAATTTGATAGAACATAGCTAGAAATTATTGAAATGAGTAAAGATATAGATGGATATAAGTGTACATTTGAACAAAAAAGAAGGCAAAGTTATTATAAATCAACTAGAATTGTTTGCAGAAGCACACGGTTTGCGAGATACCAACTTCTTCTTGTTTGGGCAAAACTCACTAAAGTGGAATCGTCAATCTTCGTGTCGCCTTGTCCTCGAAGGCATGAATGAATGATGGTAGCATATCCTGTACGATCGCGGCTCCAGGAACCCGTTACTATGGACGACTCTGCGCCTACCTGTAAAACAGTACTACAAGCATTTTATACCATGCGAAAGTGTAATTACACAACACACAACATATCTAAAAATGAGGACAATGATGTCTAGTCAACAAATTCAATAAGCCTTATTTCGTTCTGACTGAAACGAACTTTCGCATTAAGTATGTTGTGTGCGACCACACCTGCGTTTCAACTAACAATA